ATCGAGAAGAAACGTTGGTCAACTCTCTCACGATATCGAAAGCCCGCGCTGAACTTCGTCGAAGGACGAAAGAAAAGAAAAACGTCGTCGGTAAATACACTTTTTAAACAGAAATGAAGTTCACCGAGAACTTGAACCCAAGAAGACTTCAAATGTGTGACATTTATTGCTTGAAAAGCCATGTGCGAAGAAGTACTAACTTCTGAATTTTTGTTCGTAATGGCGGCCGTCCAAAAAAAATTTCTGGTTGAACTTGCTTTGGAGAAGAGTACGATTGATAATGACATTTGCTGTCAGATGCGATTGTTAACCGTACGATGCACGATTATTAGTCTAAAAGCTCGTGAAACACGACTATTAATGATACAGTCACGATTAATAGCCGTACTTTCCACGATTATTAATCGCAATAGTACACTCTTTGCGACTAATAATCGTAAGTGAAGCCCTTTGCGATTAATAATCTTAATTTCTGGACCTTCCCACAAATAATCGTGGAATTTCTCATTCCTGAAATTAAAAAACACCCCGGAAATTAATAAACACCTGTTTTTAGTAATCAGTAAGTGTTATGTGGCTGTAAGGTGGTCTTTACGGAAGCTGAAAAGAGACAATCCAAAAATATTTTTCAAATCCCGAAAAATATTTCAAGTCACAATATTTATTTTAAACTCACTGTCGAAAAGTTTGACAAATCCAAAGATATTTTGCAAATCCGAAAAAAATATTTAGAAATCCAAAAAAATTTTGTCAAAATCCAAAATATTTTGCGAATCTAAAAAAATATTTTGAAATCCAAAAAATTTTTTTCAAAATCCAAAAATATTTTGCAAATCCAAAAATATTTTGCAAATCCAAAAAAATATTTTGAAATCCAAAAAAATCTTGTGTTAAATGGGAACACTAAGAACTGTAGTACAATCAAATCAGCGCGCGTGGCGCAAACTGAAAGCAATCAAGACAACTTAACAATCGAGACAGTGAAAAAAATAGCTGTACATCTACAAAGGCGAAAGTTTTAAAAAAGACGCAATCCCTGATGTGCGTACTCATTTTAAACAAACTGAGACATTTCTGTATACACAGTATAGTTCCTGTCACCCACAAGGAATTAAAAGAGACTTCATGAGACACTGGTATTTATTAGAAACACAACCACTACTCAACGAAATATACAAAAATCCGTTTCTCGTATCTTACAAAAGAGGACGGTTGCCCAAAGACATACTAATAGGCTACTCTAAACACGCGCTGGGGAGTCGTGTAGGCCTGTCAACCCCATTTTACAACAATTTCTTGTCTAACTATTTCCCGAACAGTGTGTTCTGAATGAAGGTGGTTTCTTTGTAACCCATAGTGATGTAGCCTTCTCTTCAAAGTCCTCACGTTCATTAAAATCCCATGGTATTCTGCCAGAAAGTGAACAATGGTCTCTTACAAAATCCCTTATTAAAGTAATGTTCTATAGCCAATTTTTCATCTCCTGAGCTGGACAACACACTTTCCTCTTCACGCCATTTTAGTGTTCCACAACAACGGCAGAATGTTTCATTGTTCCCACATTCTCTTCCACATTTATGACAAAACATGTTCTATCCTTGTTCCTTCGCCATTTTGTATGCGGGATGACTCGGGATATGGCAAGAAAACGCTGGGTGACTGCTGGCGCAAATAGCACGTGACAAAATATTTTCTTGGATTTGCAAAATATTTTCAGATTTTGAGAAAATTTTTTTGGAATTCAAAATATTTTTTTGGATTCGCAAAATATTTTCGGATTTTGAAAAAAAC